CAGCAGATTAGAAGACAAAATATTATGAACTGAATGGTAACAAGCATTGCCTGAATTCACTCTGCTCTTAATTTCTTCACTAATGAAATTTTGATTTGTTACTGTCATTCCTAAATATTTGAACTCTGCCACATTTTCACAGGGTCTATTAGCTGTCTTTATATTACAATTGTGCTCTATATTCTGGTGCTGAGACATGCTTAGTTTGCTGTATGTTTACTTTTAGACCAACTTTCTGTTTTTCTTTATGGTGTTTATGTTATCACCAAACAGATTCACATCATCAGCACAGACCAGAAGCTGATGTGTTCCATTCAATTTCAGTCCCACTTGGCTTCCTTGGACCTTCCTAGTGGTGTACTGTAAAGGAGTTTAAAAAGCAATAGTGACAGATAATCTCCTTGTTTTAGGCCTTTATTAATAGGAAACATAACAGATAAAATGTTTACCTATAAGGACTTTACTATAGATTCCACTTAAAAACACATTTTAATAAGCTGAACTAGTTTCATAGGTAAAGGTAAAGTTGTACCTGTGATTGATTAAGTCAGCACTACGCATGGTGGAGTGGATGTATAGAGCAACATTTTCTTGACCTCTGCACTAGTTGGAGTTGAGTAGTCAGCTTCACGCCCCGGCCGCTTTACCCCCGGGGAAAAAGCTCCCGGTACCCATTGGATAGAAGGTTGGTTGGTCCCAGAGCCAGTCTGGAATATGTGGAGAAGCAAAAATTCTTAACCTTACTGGGACTTGAACTCCAACCCCTCAGTTGTCCAACCCGTAGCCAGTCGCTATACCGACCCTGCTATCCTGACTGCCAGATTCATAGGTACCCTAACTAAATGAGAATATTTTTAAATACTTCCCTCCTAACTGAATCATATACTTTCTTGAAGTCCAGGAATAGCTGATGTACTGTGTCATTGTACTCCCATTTCTTCTCCAGTATGTAATGAATACAAACAATCTGATTAGTAATGTATCTATTACGTTTAAACCCACACTGATGGTCCCCAATAATTTCATCCACATAAGGACTTAACCTTGAGAGGATATTTGATAACATTTTGTGCGAAGTTGATAACACTAATACGCCTCGATAATTAATAGAGCCAGTTGTATTGCCCTTCTATACTGGCACAGTAACAGACTCTTTCTGATACTCAGGCAGTTCTTCCTTATTCCAAATAGAATTAATAAGGTATGGATGTCAGACCATAAGTTTCACCTCTTGCTTGAATTGGTTCTGCCAAAATTTGATCAGCACCTGATGATATGTACTTTTTCAACTTTGCAATGGTAATTTCAGCCTCAGAAGGACTAGGCTCATGTACTAATGGCCCTGTTATATTTTCCTCTGCCTAACACCACCAACCTCGTGTAATCAGGTACTTGAGAGAAGTAGTTCTTCCACCTAGTCAAAGTGTTCAGGGAATCTGCAAGTAGATCACCATTCTCATCCATTACCATGTTCTAGTTTGACACCCCTTCTTAAATTAATTTATTCCTTGATATTGTCACATGTATGAGTGTGACTATAAAGAGGTTTTGAACTGATGACTCAGATTTATTGGACCCTCTGATACAGCGCATGACTACACTTTACAGTTCATTGTTACACACATACTAATGTCCACAGCCATGTCGTCACTAGCCGTTGCTTGGTAGAGACTTCCAATGGTGGACGTTCCCTTTTCTCTGGGTTCCTGAACTGTCCCTGGCCTCAGCTACCAGCTTCTAACAGCAACAGCTCACAATGACTGAACCACAGCAGTACTGTAACTCAACTCACTAACAGCTAACTGGGCGTGCTTATTACATCTCTGCACAGGCCATACAGAAAACGCAATTTCTCTGTTGTTTACGGTCCGTTGTATAGTTGCTTGTTTTGCAGTCACTGCCTAGCAACAGGTCTACATGCCACAGTATAGTGTCTCATGTTCTTGTTTTTATTGTGTTGCAAGCTCATTAATTTTGTCTTTCAGGTCATTCTTTTTGTTTCTGAAATGTCTGCTAGATTCACATGTTACAGTATTCAGATTATCTGCATTTACTTGGTTTGGATCCTGTAACCATTGCAATTTGGCTTGTTTCTTTTTGTCTTAATTTTTTTAACATCCTTTGTCAAACCATGGCTCATGCTTCTTCAGTTTATAATAACCTAGACCAGTGCTGTCCAACGTTCTTATGTACTCGGGCACAATTCACTGATGCCTATGGAGGTGCAGGAGCCACCACACACTACTAGTACTACTACTACTGATAATAATTATGATAATAATAATAATAATAGTAATAAAGTTTTTCAAAAATATTTAACAGTACTCAGACGTTCAAAAATGTCTCTTGTCCTACAATTTGAATTAATATTAAAAATCGGCTCAATTACATGTGGTTACGGAGGGCGTCAGAAAAATATACCACGGGCGTGGCATTGGACAGGGCTGACCTAGACTCTCTTTGGCTGAAATTTTGATATTCTTTCTAATAGTTTCCCAAGGTCTACTGATGTCCACATCATCATCATCTAAGCTTTCCAAATCTGCAAACCTATTTGAGATTGAAGCTTTCCATATCAAATATGTGTGTTGCTTGTTTACTTATTCTGCATTACTGTAACATCCCTCCTTTGCTGCATTACACATTCTCTGACTCGATTCATCCAGCATTATCTCACTCATACTAGTTATCTTTCATTCCCAGCATTCTCAGAGTACACAAGGAGGAAGAAAGTAAAGTGGGCTGTTTAGTAAATGTTAACGCAGTATGTCAAAATTGACACCAGTTCTCATTTATGCGAAATTGGAAATATAGCAAGCTGTCTGAAGTGTGATTCCATAAATACAACTTAAATATGGCATTTACCCAGTAAATTTAACATGCTTCAAGCTCTTATTTATGTACTTTCTATCAGTCTCCATTAACTTGGTCATAGAGGTGTACTTCTGAAGCTCAGTTCATAGTAGTATTCACAACATTTTGTTTATGAAATATTCAGACCTAAAACTGGTATTGTCATAACAAGTAATATTCTTTTCAACAGAATTGTAAACCATTCTGGTATCACACAGAAGTGAGGATGTTTCTTCCAATCACATTCTGAAGAATCAGTGAATAAGATGGTTACATAGATAGGTACAACTGTTGGCTGCTGAATTTTCAGTATTTATACTGTCATTTTACCTCTGAATAATATCTTGAAGTATATTAGATTTGTAGGATTTGAAGTTCCTCACACATTTGTCTCAATTGTACCTGCCCACATTCTGAAATAAACTTAGCACCTAAAAGGAATATGAATTAAATTTCTGTATATGGTGTAGTTATGAAAATTAGAACACCATGGCTCAATAACCTCAACATCTCTCAACCCTATGGGCCTCCATGGCCTATTATATGGATAGCTTTACTTTTTACTTATATATATATACACATGAGTATATACATACATACTTATAAACTCAGTTCCTGCTTAGATGTGGATGTTGTGGCTCGAATATCCCACATCACAACTCCCCTCCCCTTATGGTTGGTTCTGAAATGGACTGGACCTATTCAGTTAAAATAATTTGACATTGGACTCAACTCTCAGAAATAAGTCACTCCACAATTCTGGGAAAATACTAGGAAGAAGAAATTCTTCAGTTATAATCCCAGCCATAAGGTGTCCTTAAGTGGGTAGTAATTACTAAATTGTTTTTGATGTTTCTCTGCAGTTTGTTAATATGTACAAAATGTTTTCTACTAATAATAGGTGGGACTACTTGTTGACCTATTTAGATCTGAGTTGCCAAATGGCCATCTATAGTTTCTCATCCCTTCATAAGAAAAGTTGAAATAAAGTTGTGCCTGTGTTTATTTAATTAAGTACTATGCCAGGAAGGCTTGTGGAGTGGAGATTGTGGAGATATAGGTCTACCATTCTTAAACTGGACACTAGATGATTGATTGATTTATTTCGTCACTGTAGATCATTGTACATGATATAGGACAAGTCAAGTTAATTCTGAATATTAACAATTTAATATATGAGTAAGATTAAAATTACAATAGTTACAATTGTTTACAGTTGATTACAATTTAGAATTAGTTAGATATTATTTGTGGAGAATTTGATGGAATGAAGTTGGCAGGAGACCCTGCTGCTTTACTCTCATGGATAGCCCCATACCCATGGGAGGCTAGGTTGTTCACAAAGCTGTCTGGATTTTGGAGAAGAGAAAAATCTCTTGCCCCTGCCAGGAATCGAACCCTGGTCATCCAGCCTGTAGCCTAGTCGGTAAACTGAGTCCCTTCATGGTACTATTACGAATGAAGACAATAGAATTAACATCAGGTAAGAGATTTTCACTAACATTGGTAGTTCTTCAAATGTGTGTGTGAGGTGGGGGACTCTATCCTCTGGTGGGATGATTACTTTTGAACAGCAGTAATGTTTAAAGGGTTACTGCCCCCCTCGTCTCCTCTTTCGACCATCATGAAATTTTGAAAAGGCACGATAGCGATGCAATTATTCATACCGTACTTCAGAATTACACAATATTACATTCGTTGTAAGTATGCCTATAACACTGCCAGTATCTTGCACATACTTCAACTCTACTTTTTGTTTACGTGGTTCGCCGCTTAGGCTCCAGAATTCAGTAATTACGGTGTAATGATTGAATCTGGGATGGACAAAGTGGTCTTACCAAAATGTAGTGTTTAATAAAGTTCCGAGGTTTTAAGGCGGTATCGCGTTTATGGATGTCTTGGAATACTACGTAGTCTGAAAGTCTGAAACGTACCAATCAAACAATATGTACCGCAAATACGTAAATAAGTACAGAACGCTTAAAATGTTTTACGATCGGTTTCGATATGCTAACCACCTCTTCTTTATCCATGTCACTGGCAACACCAGGCAAGACGGCCGAGAGAACACAACCTAAGACGTGCTTGAGGTGTTTAAAAGTTTTAGAACGGTTTAGAAGGTTTAGAACGTTTAGAGGTTTAGAAGGCTGTGTCGTGCCCGTCGTGCCTAATTTGTGCAAATTGGCTAACCTTCGCGAAGTTAGCTAATAGGTAATCCCTGAGCAGCGATCGGTTGTTGACAGTTAGGGCTGCACTGCTGGGAGATAATTGTGAAGTTTGTGAACGTTAAATTAACGTTTTAACGAAGATGGCACGCGTATTGGTTGGGGTGAAGAGAGTAATTGATTATGCAGTAAAGGTGAGAGTATTATGAATTAATAACACACCATGAAGCTTGAATAAATATTGTGTCGTTGTTTTCGTGGTCGTGGTGGGAGGAGTCAAGTGCAGAATTTCAAAGGTCGATGAAAAGAGTAATTCACATTGTAAACTTAATTACCCATATTTAGGCAACATCCGATTATTGTATAGTGAAATACGGTGGTTGTGGCGCGTAAGTGGTCAACGTTAGGCAGAGTGTAACCGCAGAGTTATGTACCCTCCTGGAGAACCTAACCTTACCCAAGTCAATTGTTGACAGTCTTGAGAGTGTTCTGTTGCTCTGATGGCTCCCATAGCCGTCAGCCAGTAGAATCCAGCCATGAGTAGCCAAGTCACGGAACCAAGAATTATACATATATACATACATACGTCTGCGTTTCAAGATATTCATAACTGCAATATGCCCTGAATATGGAACATGTCACAAACTTTACAAACAACAATACATCTTTACAATTCGAACATGCCATATCACAATAACAAACAAACATAAATGCAAACAAGCGCATGTAAATAAATACATAAAGTACAGATTATATTTACACTTAATGTCTAGATTGATGCCTACTGTGGGACATCCATCAGTCAGCATGCACTTCCCTTCTATTCCTGAGCTGTTGGTCCTGACAGAAGAGCAAAAATTCATCAACAGTGTATGATGGATTATGTATTAGGACATCCCTTATTTCTTTTATAAACTGTTTTTATCATGTACTAAATCAGTTAAATAATCAGGCAGACTGTTAAATATTTTTATACTCATGCAGTGGACCCCTTTCTGCCTTATTGCAAGATGTGATGGTAGGACATGTAAATTCTTTCATGTCTTGTCTGTCTCTCATAAGTTGAATAATTAAAAGTAAAATACTCCAAGTTATTTATCATAAAAGTCATCAAAGATAAAATGTATTGAGAGGCCAGTGTTAATATATTTAACTTTATAAATGCTGGCCTACATGACTCTGCGTTTCATCCCCATTATTATTCTATTATTCTTCCCTCTTTTGTAAGAGAAAGAGCTTCTTGGCCTCTGATGAATTACCCCAAAAAACTATTTCATATCTCATGAGTGAATGAAAGTATGCATGATATATCATTTTAAGTGTTGTAACATTACTATATGGTTTCATAATTCGTATTGCATAACATGCCTTTCCCAATCTGGGTAACAATGATTCAACCTGTGTCTTCCAATTCAAGCACTTATCAATTTCAATGCCCAAAAATTTAATATGAGTTCCCTCTTTTAATAATTCATCATTAAACTTTAAATGTACAGGCATATTGTCACGATCGATTGTTTCAAATTTTAACACTTTAGTTTTCCTCAAGTTTAGGGCTAAGCCATTGTATTTAAACCACTGACTTAAGGAATTTAATGTACGTTTAGACCTTTCTTGAATTTCATCGATATTAAAACCCGACACTAATATACTTGTATCATCGGCACACAACAATGACTTATTGTCAGTACACAATGCTGACGGCAGGTCATTAATATATAAAAGGAAGAACAAAGGACCAAAAATCGAGCCCTGTGGCACTCCATATTTGATGGTTCCCCAGTCTGAACAGCATTTTTCATTCTCATTATTATAAAGTTCAACTCTCTGTCTTCTACTTTCCAGATAGGACTTCAACCATATTTTTATTTTACCACCAATGCCGTATGTTGCTAATTTACTCAAAAGAATATCATGACTCACACAGTGAAATCACTATGCAACCATCGACCTAACCTAACCTCATCCTACTAACGATCTTAATGATGCGCATATCAGCAAGGGTCATGAAAATCAGGGGTGTTAAATATGTAGGTTTTTTAATATCTCATTAATGGGAGTTTCGCTGCAGTGTGAAGTACCACATGACCTTTTCTCTAATATACATAATGTAGTTTATATTACCACGGCCCAATTTGGGCATTGTACGAAAGATTGAAGTTATAGTCTCTCAATAGTTGACAGGATACCAAAATTCTGCCAGTTTTAGCAGTATCATGAACACAGGAAGAACTATACGTTCTACTTAATTGATGATTACATTCATATTTACCTCTGGCTGTTTGGCATATTCAGACATTGTAAACTCCCCCTCCCCTCACCAATAGCATTTTCACTTCTTTTGCTGTATCAGACATTCTGAGTTAAAACATGTATTAGAGAGCATACAATTGTTGCTGTTGTGTAAAGTCATGAAGTGTATATAACCTGTTGCAATGTAAATGAAATAGATCGTAGTTAAAGGCACCAGGTTGATATTTTGGATAGTATATTTTTTCTAAAGGGTTCTGACAATGGTGGATGACACACAGAGTGACTGGGTTTTTGGACTTTTTCCATCGTCCGGAATTCTAGGTAATAGAGGACACGATGTTTCGGAAACTGGGTCTGTTTCCATCTTCAGGTGTCCTCTATTACCTAGAATTCTGGATGATGGAAAAAGTCCAAAAACCCAGTAATTCTGAGTATATTGTTTTTGTACATATTAAAATGAAAGCTGTGCAGTAAAACAGCTGTGTATGACTGTTGCTGTGTGTGATGTAAAATTATTCATGTCCCCCTAGTGATGAGGTCAAGAATGGTGGAATTACACCTGTGCCCCCCCCCAAGTGTCTTCATGGTGTGCTTGATAAAGCACAGGGGTAGCTGTATCTTTATCCTCCATATCTGAAGGTCATTTCCATCATCCAAAATCAGAAGACATACCATGCCCTGGTGACAAGAGACTAACTTAACATGAATATCCAACATTAGCCTTCTAACTTCTCACTTGTTACTGAATTTTAATATTATTTACAGGCACTAGCTGTGATGTGCCACATTTTAAGTTACCTAATCAACCTGTGGGTTGCATGCCAAACTTCCTGGTGTGGCCAGCAAGTGAATTCCTCTAATTAGAAATTAAAAATATTGAGATTTTAGGTTCTTGCAGCAGTGACTATGAACTACATGTCATTACGACCCAGAAGACTACTCTTTAAAAATTTCAAATAATATTACCAACATATTTATGAAATTTTATATATATACATGTGTGTGTGTGTGTGTGTGCGCGTGTGTGTGCGTGCGTGCGTGTGCGTGTGGGCATGCACTGTTCAAATTTAAAACATTTACATTTATAACCAGAAAGTACAATCATATATATTTGAACAGCTTTCTTTTTTTTTTGACAAGGGGAGTTAGGTAGAAGCAGGTGTTCATGATATTTAGTTTTCCATTGTAATAAAATCAGGCCACTTTGCAGTGCTTATTGTTGCACCTGAATTAAGGATTCTTTGTGATCTGCTGTGTGTGAACTTGATCTCTTTCAGATGCTCACTCGCTCACTCACTCACTCACTCACTCACTCACTCACTCACTCACTCACTCACTCACTCTCTCTCTCTCTCTCTCTCACTCATGGAGTGAGCACATCTTGAGAAGCAATTGTGCAGCTACTCAAGAACTTCCCAGAATTTTATGGAACCCAAAGGTTAAATACCATTGTTCACAAGAGCCTCCACTGGTCCATATCCTGAACCAGATGAATCCAATCTGTACCATCTCATCCTGTCTCTCTAAGATCCATTTTAATATTGTCCACCCACCTACATCATGGTGTTCCCAGTGGTTTGCTTCCTTCCTGCTCTTTCCCATGAATATCCCATATGCATTCCTCCTCTCCCCAAATCGTGCTACATGTCCTGCCTGTCTCACCCTCCTTGGCTTGAGCATTGTAATTACACTTGGCAAAGAGTATAAGTTGTGAGGCCCCATATGATGCAGTTTTTGCCAACCTCCTGTCACTTCACCTCTCTTAGGTTCAAATATTCTCCTCACTACCCTGATCTCAAACACCCTTAGTCTATATTCTTTCCTTAATGTCAGAGAACAAATTTCACACCCATAAAAAACCACAGAAAAATTATACTTCTCAATTCTCTTAATTTCTACATTTTTAGTCAGCAGAGGAGAAGTCAAAAGGTTCTATCCGGACTGAATGGTAGCAAGCATTACCAGAATTCAAATCCATCTTAATTGCTTACTGAATCAAATTTTGATATGTTAATCTCGTTTCAAAATATTTGAAATATGCCACATTTTCAAAACATTACTGTGTAAGCAGTGGAACGGTGAGGACGTGTTTATACTTCCCTCCGTTATCTGTGTACTACCACAACTCATACACTACTGTATACTTGCTTGAGGACTGTGGCATAAACAGTCAACCTCAACCCTGACCAACGAGTTTAATAGTGAATTTTAGTTGCTTACTTATTATTTTCTTCATACCCATCACCTGTATTCTGGAACTGTCCACGTTTATCGACTCGGGTGCACCCATCGCTCACCAGCATCTCCTGGATTTCATTCAACGGACATAGAAATGGATACGTCTTCCTCACAGGGGCCCATCCCCTGGTCCAAGATTTCAACCAAAAGAAGTCGCAAGCTCCACGAGGATTCCACACGTGAGTCCAAGCTCCCAAAAGAAGAACACCATTGGCTTCATCCCATCCCAACACATAACCAATTCTCAGCCCTATCATCTGGCACTTCCTCAGAAAAGCCTCAACCCCCAACTACTGAAGTCACCCACAAACCACCCCCAATTTTTGTCAGTGACGTCACCGTCCTTCCACCCCTCCTCCAGTTACTTGATCAGATTGCCCCACAGCAGTACGAAATCAAGGCCCTAGCCAACAACCAAGTCCGTATCAAACCCTCAATTCCTGAGGCATACAGAGCTATAGTCAAATCCCTTTCTGAAAAAAATACTTCCTTCCACACGTATAAACCCAAAGAAGAACGCTCCTACAGAGTAGTCCTAAAAAACCTCCATTACTCTAT